CACCTTAATGCGATCTTCCATAGAAATATCCTCATTTTGATCTGGTAGAGGAATATTTTCGTTTTTTCTGACAGATCTCCAATCTTCATAATCAGGAGTTAGCATTTCTTTTGCTGCTTTAGCTCGAATACAAAAAGTTGTTTTCCAAGCTGTAACGGCTTCCATGATATTTCTTTTATAATTTTTGCTGTGGAATGCGAACTCAGATGACTGTAGTCCAGCAGTGACAGGTACAAATTGACGACCTTCATACTGTCTTATAACCAGCAGTGGTACATATCCAATTCCTCCCCATAATCCGAGCAGCATTATCCAATTGTAATCACCACACCTGTAAAAGAATTCCCTTTGGATTTGCCACGGGGCGCGCCAAACAACGTCATTGCTTTTCAGATTTCGAAAGGCATTAATCCACATATCTTTCTTAATTTCTTTCGGCCATTCCTGCTCTAGAAATTCTTTTAATGGTGAATAATCCGTATTAAAGCGTCGGTATGAAACCTTTTCTGTTCTCCAGAAATGACTACGGATCCAAACATATAACAACTGGGTACACCCTGAGAATCGTCCACCTCCTAGCCTTCTGCAAGCATTTAACGATCTGAAGGTCTCTGCTAGGATGGCAGAAACAGGATTAATCTTCTTCGGTAGCTGTTCAAACAAGTCTACCACTGCAGCTTCAACATATCCCAATACTTTTGGGAAGATGACCATACCATATATACCCAGAGCAAATAGATCGAATCGTACTTTAGCGTCTGGATGACTCTGAATAAGCTCTCTGATGTTGGTCCAAGCAATGCCTTCGCTTTCGCCTTTTTGTTTGGTACGGGATGCTACCCATTCTTCTCGTACCCCAGCAATCTTTGCTAATTTAACTCGAAAGGGCTGAGTTTTAATTGACTTTGAATATATTCGATTCTCCAAAGCACCTTCAAGATGTAACAAAGTTGTATATTCTTCAATAGTAGGGACCAAGTCCTCCGTATTGAAAGTGAAGCAATTGTACCCTGGATTCCAGAATTGAATTAGGGCTCTGAGTAATTCATCATCAACTTCTACATAGAGCAGATATGGAATGTCTCCGTAAGTCTGATAAAACTGCAATTTTTTGTTTGAATCCCAACTTTCCCAAATGCTTCGCAAATCTTGCATATCATTTCTTTTTAATGAAACTGGAGTATAACTGGCCAAGTCAGATACATAATCATCCTGCAGACTGTCTCCTTCTTGTCTTTGTAAATCTTCAGCCCACTGTCTTACTTCTGAGTTTAGAATTACTTGACTTGAACACTTTTTATCCATAGATGAAGGCTTTCCAATGAGACAATTAACACAAGGATCAATGTCTTTTATCCTGTATGATGCAATGCAAACAGAAAAATAAAGAACACCCAAAAAGAAAATAAATTAGTTTACATAATAAAGAAATTTAATAATAACATTTACATAAATTCTTTATTTAAACATGCTTTTCTGAATTTAAATAATTTAAATAAACATGTAATTTAAACAATAAATAAATTAACAGGAAAGACAGAATTCATTTCTCCTGTGTACACCTATTTTGGACAAAATTTTGGCATGACTTCGGATTGGAAGAGTTTCTAAGGTTTTTTATATGCAGGGTTTCAGATCTAGGAGTAAAGGTACTCGAATTGTCCATGTTAGTGCCTCCTTAGACTGCTAACCCTCAATCCTAATCCATTACAGACTAAAGTGAATCGAGTTCAATTCGAGGGGATACATTTCTCTATGCCTGACACGGAGAATAAATTCTCACGAAGACATAGAGCATATGAACCCCGAAAGTTACTTGCTAGGTCTGACACGGAGAATAAATTCTCACGAAGACGTCGCTTTCACTTCCACTTAAAAGGAACAACTCAATTATAGAGCTTTATGTAATGCAATGCAAGTGTTTGTGTGTGAGGAGAAATGTTCAAACCTTTGACATAAAAATAAATACTGAAATAAAATACTTGTAAATAAAATAAAACATATAAATATTATAAAAATAATAAATAAATAAAAAATTTGAAAAGAAAGAATTAAAAATTAAATATATAAATTTTTAATTAATAGAGACAATTTATAATTGATTTTTTAAAAGTTTGACCAGTCCCCAGCAGAGTCGCCAAGCTGTCGTAACCGGTTTTCGTCCGGGCACGAAATATTTATTTTGGCGGGGAAATTGATGTGAATAAATAATTTTGAAAATAATTTGAGAGTCGCCATCGGCCTTTTGGGTCAGGTAGGTCGAATACCTAAAAATTATCTTTTAAAAAAAAGTTTTTAAGAAAACATTATTTAAAAGATGAACTGATCTGTGTTTTATAACCAAAAATTCGTTCTTTTTAATAATAAAAAGGGATTCGTGGTCGGTTACGTTTAGGGAAGGATTAGCACCCCTACAACGCCCAAAATTGGTACTTTTTTAATTATAAATTGTCTCTATTATTAAAATTTAAAAATTCAAAAATATGTTTAATTTATAATCCTATTATTTTCAAAATTATATTTATTTAAAAATATCCGAAAAGAACTTCTAGGTGCCTTAAGACAGCTCTTTTCTTTGATATTGATTAATTTAAATAATATTGTTTATTTTTTAATTTTTAAAATATCAGAATAGGACATCCAGTTGTATTAAGACTGTCCTTTTCTTCGATATTGAAAAAATATTAAAATAATTTATTTTAAAAAATATAAATTATTATTTATCATATATATTTATGACTATATAATAATAGTAAAAATATTTAAATATATAAACAATTAAAACAATAAAAATACAATTAGAACGATATATTTAAAAGCAGTAAAATAAATGAAAACATTTAAAATTAGTGACTAAATTATAGTAAAATTAAAATTAAAAACCTAATTCATAATTAATCAAAATTATAGGGTTTAAACATGTTATTTTCTTATTTTATTAATTTAGTGACTAATTTAAAACTATATAAAATTCGAATATCATATTAAAATAAATTAAAAATATATACTTGGGATTAAAATAATTATTTATTAAAATTAAAGGACTAAATATGATATTTATCTTAAATATATTATTAATACGGTTAATGGCTAAAATAAATAAATAAAATGTAGAGACCAAATTAAAAGGATCAAAATTTGATTCAGTGACTAAAAGGTAAAGATTACAAATTAAAGGGATGGCGGACGAGATTAATCTTTTTGTTAATTACGGACAGATCCCTCCCCAAAACGGCGTCGTTTGGGGAGGGCTATTTAAGCCCATTCATAGCTGGCCCGAAGGGCCAGCAGCTCATTCCTTTCTTCTTCTTCTTCTCTCAAAAACGAGAGAAGAAGCTCTCTCTTCCTTCTCTCTTAATTCCCTCACCGGAGGGAATTCCGGCGCCGATAGCCACCGCCAACCTCACCGTCGGCCACCGCCTCCGGTGGCCGGAAAATAAAACTTTATACCATAATGTAGATCGGATCGTCCTAATGACGATTCCGGTATTTGTTTACCTTAAAAAGCTCTCAATCGGAGCAAATCTTTAAAAATACCTTCGGTTTTCGAAGGTTTGTTGTGGAGCGTGGAGGCGCGTGGTTACTCCGATGGTGGTGTGGCTTTCCTCGGTAAGTCTCTTCTTCCTTTTTCTCTCTTTTTTTCTTCTGGTTCTTTGCTGTTGAGATCGTTGGTACTAGTTTGTTTTTTTTTCTTTCTCTGTCTTTTTCTTCTCCGTTCTCTGTCTCTGTCCTTTTTTTTTTTTTTGCAGATGGGGTGGTGGCTTTTATAGCCACCACCGGTGTTCGTCTCAGACCGGTCCGAAGAGGGGGCCTCGGTGAGTCACCGGACTACCAGTGGTGACTCACCCCGTAGCCTTGCATGGACGGCTGGCGTTGATCTTCTGGAGTCTTCCTTCTGGACGTGGCAGCGGCGGAGGCGGCGAGAAAACTGTCGGCAGCCGCGTAGAAGCTGGGGCGGCGCCGCGTGGCCCTAGGGTATCAAACCCTAGGGTTTCCCTCTGGCACCATCTGGACCGTTGGATCTTGTCAGATCCAACGGCTGTGAGCTGAGGCGGCTGATCAAATTAGGGTTAGGAAACCCTAACTGGAAACCCAAGTATTTAGGGTTTCTGGTTGGATTTGGACCGGTTCTGGTTGGTTTGTAACTGGGCCGGTCCAGTTGTAATTGGTCTGTAATTTATTATTTATTTAATATATATTTAATAATAATAATAATGATAATGATAATAATAATAATAATAATAATAATACTAATAATAATAATAATAATAATAATAATAATAATATGGATAAAAAAAAATTAGTATCTTCAGCTATGAATGAGATTAAAAGGACTGGTGGTCTTTTTATTGTTTGCTGGAAAAGTAGAACGTTTGTGTTTTGCAAGTTCACACACTTCACAATGAAACTCTTCAATATTTAAGGATTTAAATAAAGAGGGAAACATAATCTTCAAAACTTTAAAAGGTGGGTGACCAAGGCGAAAATGATGTAACATGATTTGGTCTTTATTGGCTGTAAATTTAGATAAAAGAGACAATGGTTGGGTATTCAAGATTCTAACAAGTCCACTATGGTCTTCAAGGTAGTATAGGTCGTTGACTTCCCTAGCATGTCCAATCATCCTCTTTGTTTCTTGCTCCTATAAAATGCATTGTGTAGGATGAAACAAAACACTGCAATTAGTATCTTTGATGTTGAAATAAGGTGGTTTTTCTTGGGCGTTTGGGTGCTTAGATATTTCTCCCTTCTCAACATACAGCCTCCAATAAAACCCAACTGTTTGATTTCTAGATCCTTGGAAACAAGATTGCCTAAAAAAGAGCCATTGATAAAGTATCTAATGTGGGCCCTATAACGAAGGGGATTGAGCATAACCTGTGGCTTTAAGCTTTTCCCCCCTCTGAGGCCTGTTTTAGCACTGGAAATGCTTGCAATTCATGTAAGATATATAATGTGCCTGGAATCATGGGTTCACAAAATTCAATTTCCTTCCCCAGGAACATGCACAGATGGGAACTTGATGCTGTGTTGGATGTTCTAACCATGTGCAGCTGCCACCTGCCTCAAACCGATCCAGTTAGGAATGAGGTTATGAATTTGATTAGTAATTTGCTTTTTTCCCCTTTTATCTTTTATCCTGGATGCTGAGACTCTTGTTCTTGTTTCCTCTTATAAAAGCTACTTTATATTTCCCCCCCTTTTTGTAATAACTATTAGTCAACCGATATGTTCTTTGAATTGTGCAGATCTTGCAAAGGAGACAAGCTTTGCAAAGGTACAGCCATATATTGAGTGTAGATCATCACCATGGAAGCTGGCAAGAGGTGGTATCTTTTCAGTGCCTGAACTAAATGTGGAAGTACTCTTAACTTACAATTCTTATGCTTATTTCCTTTTCCCGAAAATGTCAGGTTGAAGCTGAGTGTAAGCAAGATCCTGAAGGCTTAGCACTAAGATTAGCTGGGAAAGGAGCTGTTTCGGCTGCTTTAGAAGTAGCTGAAAGTGCTGGATTATCAGCAGAATTGCGGAGAGAACTTCAGAGCCGACAGCTTGTGAAACTTCTCACGGCAGATCCTTTGAATGGTGGAGGTCCTACTGAAGCTTCTCGTTTTTTGTCATCGTTACGTGACTCTGATGCTGCTCTACCAGTTGCCGTGGGTGCAATGCCACTGTTACCAAACCTGCGGTCAAAACAACTTCTTGTAATTACTTGTTTTCGTCAGCCTCCTTTTTGGGATTTGATTGTCCCATACGTAAAGCTTATTGAGTTTGAAAACAGTCTGTGTGATTCATTTCTGTCCTTTTGTAAAGGTTCACTTCTTCTTGAAGCGAAGAGATGGGAATCTGTCAGATGTAGAGGTTTCTCGACTTAACTCATGGGCGTTAGGTCTTCGTGTTCTGGCTGCCTTGCCACTACCATGGCAGCAACGGTGTTCTTCCTTGCATGAGCACCCACATTTAATAATGGAGGTCTGCTGATGAGGAAACAACTACAATCTGCCTCGCTGGTATTATACCTGAAGAACACTTAGATGCATTTTGTAGCTTTTAATATCAAATAACATTTTTTAGTTTCTAAATATTAGTACTATTAACGATCACATGAGAAGTTGACTACTGGTACATGTTTCCTCATCTTGTAACTTGAGAGCAAAGATAACGTCGCTTCCTTTTCGATTCTTCTTTCACTCTATTTTTCTTTTCCTTTGAACTTGTTTTTGACTTATATTCCTGTTAAATGGATCCTGAATTCTATCTTTGATAATGTCTGACAGATCCTTAAAGAGTTTCCTTCTTTGAGAGACAACAGTGTAATTATGTCATATGCTGCTAAAGCTATTGCCATCAGTATCAGCTCTCCGACTCGGGAGCCTCGGATATCTGTTCCTGGACCAAGGCCAAAACCGAAAACGAAACCAGGTGCACCTGCAAGGTCATCATTCACTGGTAGTTTAAGCAACTTGCAAAAAGAAGCCCGTAGAGCTTTTTCTTGGGCTCCACGTAATACTGGGGAGAAGACTGCTCCCAAAGATGTTTATCGTAAAAGGAAGAATTCTGGCTTGCCACCTTCTGAAAGAGTTGCATGGGAGGCTATGGCTGGGATTCAAGAGGATCGTGTGTCATCATATGCAGATGGGCAAGAGCGGCTTCCTTCTGTCTCAATTGCTGAGGAATGGATGCTAACAGGTGATACTAGTAAAGATGAAGCTGTGCGAGCATCTCACAGATATGAAAGTTCCCCTGACATTATTCTCTTCAAGGTTTGGTAATAGAACAGGCAAATAGTTATAATTAGTGCAGCTGAACACTGTGTAGGCAATGCCTATTGTCTGCCATCTCAATAGTTATGGCACAGATCCTGGTAGTATGTCAATTCTCTTAGAATGTTATGCTACCACACAGTGGTTGGATCGGATATTTGGGGTTGACTATTTCCATAACAATTCTATGGATATCTGTCTAGAACAAAATTCATGTAATGCTTTTTTTAATCAACTATGCTAGTATGTAGTATTGCTAGGATTTGAGACTAGTGATTTATAACACTTATTTTTATGTTCTGTTGATTGGATCTTTTAATATGCTGATTCTTCTTTTTCCTTGTTTATAGGCACTGCTTTCCTTATGTTCTGATGAGTTTGTGTCTGCTAAAAGTGCCCTAGACTTGTGTGTTAATCAGATGAAGACTGTTTTGGGCTCCAAGCAGTTGCCTGAGAATGCGTCGATGGAAACAATTGGTCGAGCATATCATGCAACGGAGACATTTGTCCAGGTATTTGGCTATTTCAAGCCCCTTCAACTGCCAATATCTAGAAGTAGTTATATTATTGACGTTTATTGTTCTTTAATTGCCACCACTACCAAGTAAATGGTGTATGTTCATTTTTTTGGGTTAAATTGCTTAACAGAAGGGATATTTATCCAGGGTAGTTATTAATCTTGTCTTATTTTGCATGTGCAGGGACTAATCTATGCTAAATCGCTGCTGAGGAAACTTACTGAGGGCAGCGATTTGTCCAATAATTCTGAAAGAAGCAGGGATGCTGATGATGCATCCTCTGATGCTGGTAGCTCAAGGCAGTCCGCAGATGAGTTATCTGAAGTTATGTCTCAAGCAGAAGTTTGGGTGGGACGTGCTGAGCTTCTTCAAAGCCTTCTGGGATATGGAATAGATGCTTCTCTTGATGATATTGCTGACAAGGAGTCTTCTGGACATCTCCGTGACAGGTTGATTGTTGATGAACGGTACAGCATGGCTGTGTATACTTGCAGGAAGTGTAAGGTAATCAGTTTGTGCAGAGATTCTAGTAATTGATTCCACTATTTTCCTCTAAGTCTACCCTGTTTGGATGTCTTGGGCTTATGAATTCTTGTCTCTTTCAGATTGATGTTTTTCCTGTGTGGATTGCATGGGGACGTGCTTTGATTCATATGGAGCACTATGCACAAGCACATGTAAAGTTTAAGTATGTTAACTATTTAAGTATTATTATATAATAAGTTAGGAGGCTACTTGCTCTACTCTGGATTTGTTTAATGTTGAATTTGTTGCTAATCTTTTTCCAATTTATCACTCAGGCAAGCTCTTCAACTTTACAAGGGTGATCCTGCACCTATCATTCTAGAGATCATTAATACAATTGAAGGTGGTCCCCCGGTGGAAGTTTCAGCTGTTCGTTCCATGTAAGATGTCATGCAACTTGACTCACTATAGATTGGCAAGCAAGAATCTGATTGTTACTGTCCAAAAACTTTAACACGAGGCAGAGTTCATAAATTAAATGATGGACCCTGGATCTATTTTTCTGAGGCCCCTACTTTTGTGCGTCTATCATAGTTATGTTTCAGCTATTGATAACTTTAACATGTGAAAAGCAAAAGTGAGTTGAAACATTTGGTTGTTTATGGTAATGGAATCACCTAATGCAATCTATGCTGCAGGTACGAACATTTGGCCAAAAGTGCACCCACAATCTTGGATGATTCTCTTTCTGCTGATTCATATCTCAATGTTTTGTGCATGCCATCTACCTTCCCTCGTTCAGAGAGATCAAGGCGATCTCAGGCATCCACAAATAGCAATTCTTCATATGGCCCTGATTTTGAAGATGGGCCACTTAGTAACTTGGACAGTGCTCGTTATACTGAGTGTGTGAACTATTTGCAAGAAGTAAGTTGAACTCTTTATTCTTTATGCATGTTGTATATTGAATTTGTTTGCATTTTAAGTACTATCTATGGTTAAGCTTTCTTGCCATTTATGTTCTCTATCTATAAAACGATTGACCTGAACATAATGGTTCATGCAGAAGTAATATAAAACAGAAGAATGTCATATTTGAATTGTTTTCTCTATGTGGCATATTTGTTATTCTGAGTTGTTCCTATATTGGGTTTTCTTTACAGTATTGTCACCAACATATGCATTGCTATAATTTATGTGGCTCATTCTTCATTCTTCTTTACGGTCAGTTTCCATCCCAGTGATCAGATCTTTCATTTAATTGTCTTTTCTGTCATTGTAGTATGCTTCTCAGCATTTGCTTGGGTTTATGTTTAAGCATGGCCACCTCAACGATGCATGCTTGTTATTCTTTCCTCCTAATGGTGTTCCTACACCTGCTCAACCTTCAACAATGGGAGTAGTAGCTTCATCATCGTCCCCTCAAAGATCAGATCCTTTGACAACTGATTATGGAACCATTGATGATTTGTGTGACTTGTGCATTGGGTATGGTGCTATGCCAGTTCTGGAGGAAGTGATTTCACAAAGAATTTCAGTTGCAAAGGAACAGAATGCATTAATAAATCAATATACAGCTGCTGCCCTTGCTCGTATTTGCACATATTGTGTAAACTCATAAGCACTTTACTTATCTATACAAGTTTCAGGTACCATCTTTTTTTCTTTTTTTTGTTAATGCTACTGAAATGTCTGGATGTCAGGCCATCACTTGATACTTGCATTAACTGCTAAGATTGGTGTGTCTGCGGTGTTTTTTTTTGGGGGGGGGGGAGGTTCGGCTAGCACTTAAAAGTCGGGAGAATTCTGAACTTACTTTTCAATCATTCTATTATATAAAGCTCTTTTTGTTATCTTGGACTTGATGATAGAGCTCTCCTTGGACTATTATATATTTTTCTTTACAAAGGTGGAGATGGTGGTAAATAAAGGAAATTAGTAAGTACGGATATTGGATGGATTATAAGTTTTACATATAATTTTGCTAAGCAGCTGTGTTTGCTTTTCTTTTATGTTCTGTTGCTGTGAACATAACATGAATAACTGCTAGCAAAAGGATTATATCATCATTTAATACTTGTCATAAACCCCCCAAAGATAGATGCTAAATCACTGTTCATTTCTACTTTCAAACTGAGTTTGTTGATGCTTTTCTTAAACTTATTCGATGGTTTAGGTAATCAAGAAGGACCATGTTGCAGCTGGGCTCTGTTGTATCCAGTTATTTATGAATTCTTCTTCTCAAGAAGAAGCTATCAGACATTTGGAACATGCTAAGGTTTGTTCATTACAAACACCTTTTCTTTATTTCATGGTTCTGCAATGCCTATTATACGCAAGAGAACCCATTAGAATACTAACATGGTATTGTAGATTAATTTTTCAAAAAAATATAATTATAGAAAAAACGAAGAAGAAAGATGCTCCAAAAAATTCAACAGTTCCAAACTAGCAACATAATAAATGCTAAAAAGTATCAACCATTTAGATGTCTGGTATTATAATTGTCAAGGATATTGCTGATAGGCTTAAAGATTCGGAGGGCGTAATTAGATGGGTTGCTAGGACAACTAATATAGAGGCAAATGGCTTAGCTAAGGCTGGAATAGGCTAAGTAGAGTGTTGTTGTTAGGGGTAGTTGTTTTTGGTTTTCGGGTTGTTTTGTAAGGGGGTTATTCTTGATGTTTTTAAACTTTATGTATCCTTCATATTATTAATGAATTCTAAGGTACTATTTTTCTCCTTCCGCTGATTAAGGAGCTTCTCTACGAGCTCCATTAATCATGAAGGGGGTTTAACGAGGCCTTCACTTTTTATAAAAAAAGAATAATTGCTAATTGCTCTTCTACTACTCATGCTTCCTTTTGTCACAGAGGCATTTTGATGAGGGGTTATCTGCACGATACAAAGGTGGAGAATCTACCAAACTTGTCATGAAGAGTGTTAGAGGAAAAAGTGCCTCTGAGAAGCTTACTGAAGAAGGACTTGTGAAGTTTTCGGCTAGAGTATCAATCCAGGTAATAATAGCTCCATAAAATATATTCTGCTTGTAATAATTGGATTTGGGAAAGATGTTAGGCATATGTTGGGGATTTTGCATGTTGTTGAGCTTTAAAAACTGTTCCTTAAGTGAAAATGTTTCAAGTAGATTCTGATATTATGGAGCACATAATAGAAATCTCTTAAACATGGATGAGGAGATAGTATTGTTTCACTTGTTTATGTTTGTCTGTGACTTTCTTTATATGAAGTCAAATGCCTGCAGCAGTTTGTGTGAAAGTATTTGTTGCCAATTTAGTAGCATGCTGTATTTGATTAAACTGGAGATTGATTACTGTATTTGATTAAAACCGGATTCCAAAGAATTAATTCTAGCTCCAATTGCTTTCATTTTATGTCAATTTAATTGGGTAAATCTTATCTTTTGTTTATATTTGTTGGGCTTTGCAGGTGGAAGTTGTGAAAACTTTTAATGACTCAGAGGGACCGCAGTGGAGACATTCACTTTTTGGAAATCCAAATGATCAAGAAACCTTTAGGTTAATATCATCTTACCCATGTTTAGGCATCAGAGTAGCAAAAAGTATTTTCTGATGTTTCTACTGGTTGGAATTGTTGGTCCGCAACTAGGCAACCATGGTTGGTTCCTGATGTAATTAGGACACCAGTTAATTCTTATTTATCAGAAATGAAAAAGTACAGCTAGTTTAAATATATTTAAATCACCATTGTATGTTACTTGAAGCTGTTAGCCGGAGGAATTTTAACTCAAAAAATAATGCATAAAGAGGAGAGGCGTTGTATGCTTCTTTATTATTTTGGGGGTAATCGAATTCAGTGATTGGTAATTATGTATTTGACAAATAATCGCCAACTGTGGTGGAACATAAGTTATCACCATCTAATGCTGAAGTTAATCAAGGCTTGATGGAGCCTTTTTACTTTGTTGATAACCATCTCATAAGGTGTTTACCATGTATAGAATTACTCTACACTTTAGATTGTATTACTTTCTCTGCAGATCCATTGTTAGTAGAGTGCACATTAATGACGGTGTTGACTGGTTTTTTATGCTTGCTGCTTTTCAGGAGGAGGTGTGAAATTGCAGAAACTCTTGTTGAGAGGAACTTTGATTTGGCATTCCAAGTTATTTATGAATTTAATCTTCCAGGTGGCTGCACCTTTGTTTCCTTTTTCCCAGTTTCGTTTAAGCTTATAAGTTAATGCAGCTTTGCTTTTAACACTCGGAGTATTTTCCATGCCATGCAGCTGTTGACATATATGCCGCTGTTGCTGCATCGCTTGCTGAAAGAAAAAAGGGCAACCAGTTGACCGAATTTTTCAGAAATATTAAAGGAACAATTGATGATGATGATTGGGATCAGGTAATGTACTTTCTGTTGGTGTGGTATTAGTCAGTATATTGGCACCAGAGGGACAACATTTTTGACTTTATCTTCTGGTAGGTGCTTTACCAAAAGAAACTTTTTAGTGGAATAGAATATTAAACTTTGTTAAGTTGTAAGGAACCACAATAATTAAAAACTTAGTGCTTAGACTCTAGCGACTATAGTTACACACCAAAAGCACAAAATGCATTCAATTGGACTCTCAAGGAATAAGTTCTCTTTCTCTTGCGATTCAACTTGTGCTGCTGCTCTAAATTGAAACTGTGAATATTCTAAGAAGAAAGTAAAGGAAATTTAAAAAGAAAGAGAGATTTCAAATTAAAAGAGGAGAGAAATTATGTTCGTATTGCTTATTTTTAAAAATAAAACAACCAGCCTGCTTTTATAGGCTGAGAATTACAAAAGTTTTAATTAACTATGTATCTTTTTCTTAACTGTTTTCTCCTAAGAAAACTCGCCTTATCTTCTAAACAGATAAAACCCAATCCTAAGTAAATTAGAACTTAATTTAGGATGAACTAGAACTCTTTTTCTACTAGTTTAAATCATTACAGCTTTCCACAGAAACTTCTATGTAAAAAGGTTTCTCCTAGCATCTTCTTGCTATACAGTCACTTGGAATACTGGTTCTGACTGAATGTACTTTGCGCAGTTCCAAATATTAGACAAACTAGCCTAAGGTTGTTGCATGTTCTGTTTATTTGTATTCTTGATTAATTAAAAGGTCGAAGTGTTATAAGCACAGTAACATGTCTTCTTCTGAGTTCAGCTGATACCTTGTTGTCTAGCTGAACCTGAAATGACTTCCGATCCATTAAATGAAGCAAGTTTATTCAAATTAAGCACAATGGTGATCTTTTTCAGTAAATTTGGTAGTTTATCAACAAAATGAAATAAGTAATTATGTGAAACGACTAGAACCCTCCCCAACCCCAAAACAATGATTCAGTTTCATGAATGAGTAATCCTGTGATTTTTTGGAATTTTCTAGGTGTTAGGGGCTGCAATTAATGTGTATGCTAACAAACACAAGGAGCGCCCCGACCGTCTCATTGACATGCTAACCAGTAGTCACAGGTAATCTTTTTGGATATCTCAAGTTTTCGTAGTTGTTACTTTCGCATTTGTTTCAAGGTACAATAGATCACACAGATATTCATTTAAGGCTACTATGTTGGATCCTCAAACTGGTGGACTAGCCAACTCGGTAGTATTCTAACTATTAAAGGTTTCTAAAAGGTGACTGTACAGAGGACCCGTGCTTGGCAATCCAACATTTGATAACTAGTCCTTTTTTCTCCTCGCCTACGAAAGAATAAAGTTGGTTTGACTCTTTAATTTAAGTAAATCAGTTGAACAGTGCTATGGCAACCTGATAGTAGACTCCCTCCATGTACCTTCAAGGCAAATGCTTTTAAGTTGCAGGTTAAAAAGCAATAGGTTTTTGGTTGTCACAAGTTTATCAAGATGAGACGTGACTTAGATTGGTTATTACTACAGGATGTGCCTCGCTTCTTGTAGATGCTCGGTTTTGTCCGGAGGCTTCGTATCTAGTACACGATATAAATTTGGACCAGGGAAAGCCCAAATCAGCCCAAACAACATGTTATCCTAGCCTCCAGTCCACGTGAGTTCCTTCAAAACATAAATGAATATCCAGCAGGAAGGAGAGAAGCAGTTTTGATCGTGGGTGGGATACTAAACTGTAAAAGGAGTGGGGTCGGTTTTTTATTAGGAGTTAACCTCCATAAACCAAAGGGGGACGAGGATCACAAATAACAGAAAAAAGAGGAAAGAGTGGGAGAGGACAGAGCAAAAAAACAGAGGAGAAATCAGTAGTCATTCCCAACCATTAACACACATCAAAAAAAAGAGAGAGAGAGATTCCAATCGGAAAATACCCATTCAAGCATATTTATTTAGCCAACAACGAGATAATGTAACCCTTACTTACCGGAGTTGGAGAGGAGAACCACCACGTCGCTTGTATCCCCATTCCAGTCATCGAGGAGATCACGCATAAGAAAAGTGCCAAGGACTCACCGTTGTATGCATAAATCGAAGAAGCAAAATAAAGTAAGTTTTTGGTATTTTCTATCGGTACTTCGATTTCCAATTTTTCTTTATATGTTCTTATTTTAAAGCAAATGAAATATATGAGAAAAGAAAAAGTTTAGTTCGTTACCTTTTTTTTGTTTGTTAATTCTATCTTTACCAAGTATAAGGAAACCGAGAGTTCTGGTTGGCCTTGGTTCTGTGTGGTTCCATTGGTTGTTTAAGAAGGATATCGGTGAGGTTTAAAAAGTTTTGGTTAGGTTTAATTTTGGCCCTGGTGGTCGTTGTGTGTGGTGGTCGTAGTTTCTATGGCTGTTGGGGTAGCCAGCCGTGTAGGGTTGCGCTTGGAGCAGCGCCGTTCGTGAAGGAGAGTGTTAGAGAGAGGAGTTTTGGTTCCTCATCGGAGCCAACTGCAAGTGGTGGCCACATCAGCTTTGTGTTGTCTAGGGTTAGGGATGAATAAGGTTGAGAGAAAGAGATAGAGAAGATGAGGGGTTCGGCCGTGGAGTGTTTGGGGTAGTCAGTCGTGTATGGTGGTTCAAGGAGAGGAGCGACGCTGTTGTTGGCTAGAGGTTTGGTTTGGGTTTCGTCGGACCACGGTGGCCGAGGCTTTAGGTGAGCAGGGGAAAGGGTTCCATTATGTTTCTGTCGAGAGAGTGAGGAAGAAGAAGGGGAGAGCGGCTGAGGTCTTTGGAGGAGAAGATGAGAATGATTTAGGGTTAGAAATGTTACCCTAAAATCCCATATATTAGAACGTCCAAACGGCGTCGTTTAGCCAGGTCTAAAACGGCGGCGTTTCATCAGGCTGGAATCTTCTGTGTTCTAGGATAGTGGGTTAATTGCGTGATAGGTCATTCCATTTTCGGCCTGCATCTTTATGGTCCTTAAATTAAATTTTATTGGGTTTTTGATTTCGTATCTTAATTTTAAACGTTTTATATCTTAGCCCGGAATCATGTTAGGGCCATTTTTGCACTGTTTTTACATTGGTTGTGTAATTTACGGAACTTTCATTTTGGTCCTTGAACTAATCTTTTGCGCCTTCTTAATTTGGTCTTCATATTTATGAGCGCTTTTCATTTTAGTCCTGAAATGTTTTTATGTTTTATTTTTGAAATGTAATTTGTAATTTTGGTTGTTTGACAATTTAGTCACTTAGCATGCTTTTTTAATTTAATGGTTAATTCCTACTTTGCATGCTTAGTTTAATTTTATTTTATTATGGTCCTTCATGGTAATTTTGAATGTGAAGTCGAGTTATTAATAGTATGTTTTATTGTATATATTGTTTTATTCTAATGTATGTTAATGTCGTAAATACATATGATTTTTTTTATAGATTTAGAAGTTTGTTTGAGTGCATGGCATATTTTAATTAGTTTTTGCATGACATTATTTTGCATAATATGCATGATAGCCTCATTTGCATAACTCGACATATTACATAATTAGATTAAGGGTAATACCCTTTTAATTTAAAATTGTTGTAAGTGGGCAGTCATAACTGATTTGAGGTCCGTTTTTAATGATTTTAAAATAAAAGTGTATCCCGAAAGTGAAACTAAAAAATTGATTCGTCACCTAAAATTTGGGAACGAGAGAAAAAGAAATGTTCGTTTATTTAAATATATCGAGAAAAGGTTGTTATATCTTTAAGATCTGGTCTCGATATTTGTAAATAATCGAACATTCTTTATCTTTCTAAAACGACTGGGTAATTTTAATTTAATTTGTTTGAGTGCTTTTGAATGTTTTTAAATTTATATCTTTGTTTTATGGGATCAAAAATCAAACTAAATTAGAATTTGTAAAATTCATTACAAAGACATTAATTAATCGACTAGGTACCGTTTTAGGGCGTTGTGGGGTGCTAATCCTTTCCCGCACTTAACCAACTCCCGAACTTGGATTTTGGTAACGCATACCTTAATTTGTTGTTTTAATTAAAATTAATTTTTATTTAAAATAACAAAACATTTTTGGGTGCCCAATCACACCCTAATCAAAGATTGGTGGCGACTCTTTGAACAATATTTTTTTAACGTAAAGAGAATTTCAAAATTTTCGAAACGAGAGGTTTTTAAATCGCATTTGTTTTTAAATTAAAAATCAATTGAAAGAGATAAGTTAAAAATTGATGTGGTTTTTAAAATCTCACATTTTGAGGGAAAAATCGTTTCGACACTTCTAATTTTCTTTGCTATTATATCCATAATCCAGCAATTACTGAGCAGTTGAAGACTTTGAACTGGGATTGGCCATTTAATAGGACAAGGATTTATATTTTTAATTTCTGCTAATAGATGTTATATAGTTTTGATTTAAGCAGCCTCTTTAATTTGATTATTTATGTTTGTATCAGTTGCTAAAACTCCATCTGATGCATTTTGCATGTTTTCTGTTCCTAACTCCTCTTTGCAGGAAAGTGCTGGCATGTGTGGTTTGTGGTCGCCTAAAAAGTGCCTTCCAGATTGCTTCTCGGAGTGGAAGCGTGGCTGATGTTCAATATGTTGCACACCAGGTTGTCCTTTTTCCTAGCGTCACAATATAACTTAGTCTTTAGTAGAGTTTATGTGAAGTTAGAACTGTGATTGTGTGACATTCTTCGACTGATTTTCCAGTGGCAGCTCAGTGAACCTCTTAATCCGATATTTATCGTTCATAGCTATTGGGAAAGTACCTGATGTTGTTTTTAATACATTTTCAGGCTTTACATGCCAGTGCTCTTCCCGTGCTTGATATGTGTAAGCAATGGCTTTCTCAGTACATGTAACTTGTTGCTCGACAATATTTTTGCTACTTGTGTATTCACACGGTTGCCAACTCCACTACTACAAGAATCTGATGGCTGCTTTGTGTTCCGAAACCGACAAAAACAGCGATTTGAATTGGTTTTTTCTTATAAATAGAATTCTTGTATTTTTGTGTATATATATATATATATATATATATATATTTCCCAATTCAGGTCGAATATATTTTATTAATCTCTGGTCCAGCTATCAGAAAAGAGATTCCACGGGTATGTAGGTGCATGCCGTTTTGAACATAAACAAAACAAGAAATGCGCTTTCCAAATGGGCTACATCTTCCTCAATTTATAAGGTTCCTATTAAGAGGTAATTGAGCAATTTGAAGGTGTAGGAATGTCAAAATATACATATGCCAGTTAGTTTGGCTACATCCGAAATATTCGTTTAAAATGCTGCTGATTTTTTACAATCAATTTTGTGTAATATATACACTCACTCTTTGTACAAAGGTTATTTTATTTTAAATTTCAAGAATTTAATATATTTACTTTTGATTTGTGAATCTAACTGATAATACCATTAAAACTTTTCTATTGAATTGATTTGACACAAACAATTACACACTGGGCAAAATTTTAATGCATGGAAGGTCAATCATAACGTTGAATATGAGGTCGTAATTGTTTGCGTTTTGATCTGGGATGGTAGGGATCTTCAGTGGACGGCATGGTTTTCAGAACCGAATTGGTTAGCGAACCGGTCATACTATCGGTTCACTGGTTTAATCGGTCGAATCGGTCTGACCGGTCGGAAGAACCGGACGACGTCATAATTATTTAAAAAATTAAATAAAAATACCAAAAATATTTAATAAAAAATAACTTTTTATATCACAAGTCATATTCAAAGCAAGTCATAACATATATAAGTTAAAAACTATAAAATCAAGTGAAACAAAATGATTCAAATTAACTACAACATAATATTTAAGGTAAAACATATTATATAATAAATATAATTATATAACTATAATTAAAAAAATAAATTTGGGGTTAAAAAAATCATAACAAAATGATATTGTTTGGTTTAATTTTTTTAAAAAAACAATCCCACATGGCTAAGAAACATAGAAGAGTATCCCAAAAGTCTAAAGAGTAAAAATATAAGAACAAAACAATCTCACATTGCTAAGAAACATATAAGCGCATCACAACTAACTTCTATAAATAATAGAGGTAATTTGGCATTCAAAATCATGGAGTCTTTTGGTGAGCATTGAGTGAACTATTTTTTCACTTCAATCAAGCTCGAATTTTAGGCCTCAATCGAGCTTCTAATTTTTTTTTGAGTTCAAGCCTTTTTGAGTTCAAGTTTCAATATTATATTTTGAGTTTGAGTTGAACTTGATAATTTTTAGCTTGTGAGTTGGAGTTGAGTTGAGCTTACTTTTAAAGTTTTCAAGTTCGAGTCGAGCTCAGCAATACTCGAGTTCAACTTGGCTCGTTTAACAAACGACGTTGTTTGGTTTAATTTAAAAAAAAACAAAAATCCCGGTTTTTCCCGGTTTTCAGTCGGTCCGGTTTGAACGATTCAACGGTTCTAGCCGGTTCACTAGTAGCGATTCAACCGATTTAGATTGAACCGGACTAAACAACGATTTTCGGTTAAACCAACCGATCCGGTCCGGTTTTCAAAAGGTGGACGGTAGTATTTGAAAGTCGAGTGAAATGATTATGTTATGTTTACACGACTTTCACACCGTTTTAAATTAATAGTGTTTTTCTTAAATATATATATCACATGATTTAATTTAACAAAAATAGTTGACGCTGTCATTTTATTAAAAAAATCACTAGTGGAAACAAAGACATAGGAAAAATACATAGAAGAGCGAACAATTAGTATACAAATTACGGCATCGAGTCCATGTGAACAAGAAAAGCACAATAAAAAAAGAAGAATCAAATTGTAAGTCATTATGACTTTCAAGTTACAAAATTTCCAACCATTTCTAGACGGGCCGTTGAGTCGGAACCTAACGGGTCCAGAGCCAACGATTCGCGACAGACTGGCAAAGCTAAAAATCCTGAAATTTGACATTCCAAACAAAACGCCATTCAGAGGTTAATATTCATTTAGGCGGGAAACTCTTCCCCTCCCTCTCCCGCCTCTTTCAATACCTCGACAAACTCACTTCCTCTGTAACTTTCCCTTTTTAGTTTTCTTCTCTGAATCTTTCGTCTTTCTTCTCTTTCTCTAGAAATGGTCGTGGATCGCAGAAAACTCAGTCTCAGAGCAATGGCGCCGGTGGAAGGCAAGGAACTCCGAAACGACCTGGTATTGATTTTGGACGATTCGTCTACCGAGTCGGAGGTCTCCAAGCTAAATGGCAGAGGGAACTCGCTTCGGTTCTCAACTTCCTTATTGTAAGAGCGAAATTTTCTTCTTCTTCTTCTATTGTTTCAGAATAGAACGTTTAAACGTTGAACCGTAGATCATGACTTGAGGGAACAGAGATTAGCGTTTGTAATTGATCGTGCAGTTTGACAGGTTTTTGAACCTTTGATTGGGACTGATTGAAAGCTAACTGCCGAAGGGATGAGTTAGAGCTGGTTGAACCTAATGCTTCAATTGGTTCACTTCATGTCAGACTTTTGAAGGTTCAATTCTTCTTCTTAGCATTTGATGAAATTGAGTTGTGCATGTACATAAATATTTTATATTATTAGCATCAGAAACCACCTTTACTTATGTAGTGTATTTCCCCTTTTTTCTTTACTTTCTTGAATTAAAATGTTTGTTGGCAGGGTGCACCACCTTTGACTAAACTGTTGAACGAGTCTGATGGATAGATGACTGCACTTTGCAAAAAACTTGCCATGTGGTGGCCATGGGTGAGGCAAAACTATGCTTCTTGATATGCCACCTTTATGTTAGTCTGGATGACTTGATAAGTTTTATACTAATTTGTTTTATTGTCCACTGCTACATGTTGCTGAAGGAGAGATTCGCCTCACTGCTCGCAATGGGTATTAATGATGATATTTTGATTGTTTAAATGAATAAATCCACTGTTCCACACTTGACCCTCGATGGTGGATCATGCTTTGGATGAGGCTGTTTTGTTCTGCTTTTATTGTTTTGCAGAGAGGAAATATCTAAATACAAAGAACTTGATCCAACAAGTTGCTTGCTTCTCTTAAAAGCACTTTGTGAAATTCAAGCGGATGTAATCTATCATCCTTTTGAATTCCTTGTTTTCATTGAACTAGTGATCTCGTCTCTGTCCGTCCTTATGCATTGTTTGAAATGGTTTCATTATATCATCCCATAATCAATGCCAAATTTTTAATTCAGTGAGGGAAGTTTTGAGATTAATGTTATGGGTAATTCTATGGCATTTCAACTTTTGTTTTATGAATTCTATTATTCCCAGCAACTCGATGAGTGTCATACATTAAGGGTGCTGTGAAAAGTAATAAAAGGATTTCTTGCTTCTGAAAAGAGAAGATAGGAGCTAATGGAAATGTTTCATACTGGCAACTGTTGACTGTGTTCCGGATTCTGTAAAAGCAGTAGTATGATTTGTGTTGATAAGTTCTCTTTTGTTTGTAGGTATGATGGAAATAAAGTTTTTGGTTATAGATTGCACAGGGAAGTAAAAAGGATTCTGACTCAATCAAAGACAAAGGGGAAAGCATGTTTAACACATACCAACTCCGTTCTCACTGGGAAATACATGCAGTGGATTTCCAAGGAATTCCATGAAGTTGTGGTCATTTCACAATATTTGTTTGTTCTCGACATGAAAATGCTATGTAACTTTTTCTTTCTTTCTGTAAACACCAGATAAACTGTTGTCTAGCAAGATTGTGGCGGAAGTTGCTATTGGCAAGACTATCAATAATGATCTCATTCCTATTTTGCAGAAATTTCAAAAGGTAAGTTTGACAGGTGAAAGGTCCTTTTTTATCCTCTAGTAAAATCTTGGTGTATCACACTGTTCTTACGCTTCTGTTTTATATGTTGCATCTGTTAGTAAACCTGTTAATTTATTTTGCTATATAGAATAAAGAAAGGGCACTGAACCCGAAGAAAAGGCAAGAGATGCTCCTGAATAGCTTGAGAAATTCCTCTGGTACTAGGATTACCCGCACATTTCCGCAGTCGTAGGCTTGTCAGTTACACTTTTGGTACGATAGAAACTTTTTTCCTGCAATTGTTGCAATCCATTGATCTGTCATCGATTATTGAATATTGTTGAATTTCAACTTTTACCTATAGACCTTTGTAAATTGCTGTATATTTTTAACTGCTTAATTATGACATGAACGCTAGAAAGGCCAAGTTAATGACTTCACATATGTTAGCTGATTGGAAATGATGAAAGTTCTTTGGGAGTAGAAAAGTAGGAGCAGAGAGGATGGAAGGGAAACTGCACTCCATTTGGTAGGGCAGGAATAGGAAGAGGGAAGGAAACTGAGTGGTTTTGCACCTTCCCCTCTAGATCTAGTCCTTCCAATTGTGGGATGAAACCCCCTCCCCCCTCTCCCTCTTACTTTGAAATTGTCACATTTGTCGGAACAAGATAAATAATTAATTGGCTTGTTTTCATTCTCTTTGAGTTATAGATTTATAGTTCCTCAATATTGTACAAGAGTCAGGATGGCCGAGTGGTCTAAGGCGCCAGACTCAAGTTCTGGTCTTCGAAAGAGGGAGTGGGTTTCTAATCCCACTTCTGACAACTTCGTCTTTTGAAAATCTGATTATAAAAAGGGTGTGTTTGTTTGCCGGAAAATTAATTACGGAATTGATTTTCTTTGAAATCTAGTGTTTGTTTTATGTAATTCGTTTTTTGGAAAATGTTTTTTCGTGTTTGTTTCACGTAATTCGTTTTCCGGAACGAAATTTATTTTCCTAGTAATATAATTTCTTTTGTGTTTTCTGTAAAATGACTTACGAATTTATTTTTTATAAGTCATTTTCCGAATTTTTCACTTCAAAGCAAAAATGCTCAAAATAATTTTATTTTATGAATTTAATATTAATAAAATATTTTAATATCATTTTTATCAAAATATTAAATATTAAAATATTTAAAATATATTTATTAATATTTATAATAATATTATATTATATTTTTTAGTTTAATAATATAATCAATTATATTATAATAATATAAGATATTATATTTTTTATTTTAATAATATATAATAAATTTTTTATATATTTAATAATGAATAATATTATTTATATATTTAAATAATATTTTAGTAAAGATATTTAAAATATACTAATTAATATTTTTAAAATATAATATAACATTATTACTTTAATAAATAATTAATATAATTTATAATATTTTATTTCACTAAAATATACCAATATTAATATTTTTATCAATAAAATTATAAAAAAATATTTAATAATAAATAAATTATTTTAATATTTTAAAATAATAATATTAAGTTTTATGAGAAATAATATTATTTATTATATATAATATTTCTAATAAATAATTTTTAAAAAAACTTTTCAACTAGTGGAAAAAATGTTTAAATAACATCTTCCAAACATCATAAAACGTTTTTCAGATGTTTTCCAGAAATGTAATTCATTTTCCAGAAATGTAATTTATTTTCCAGAATTTAAATTCTTGTAATTTATTTTCCATTAATTCAAATTCCAGTAATTTATTTTTCGAAAAACCAATTACAGGCAAACAAACGGACCCTAGTCTAAAACCAATTCTTTTTTCCTCTTTTGCATTATTTTATATTATAAATCTAGTCCTTCCAATTGTGGGATGAAAACACTCTTTCCAACTTGAATTAACAATTTTGTTTGCAGCTTCTAGCTTCTTTTGTCCTCTCTATTTTCAACACACTAAACAGGGTTACAGGATGAACCAAATATATCTTTCCATCCTCTCCGTTTTTCACCCTTTTCACTCCCCTTCCATTTTCCTTATCTAACACAGGGTAAGGATTAAGCTGGTCAAGCAGGTGTAGTTGAATCTTACTATTGATCTGATCTTATTTTGCTCTTAGTGTAGTTTGGTAGCATTTGTTTTAATCAAAAGCAAAAAGATCAACTTATGATGGGTCTATAATCATGCAGATGAATATGATTGTGCTATTGACGAGGCTATAGAAGTAACAAAGTAAGACTTGTTGAATCTAAAATTACATTGGTTTTTTTTATCTTCATCTTCTTAGTTATCATTACTGCTTTAATCGTATACTCTTCGAATACCTGTAAAAAATGCATAGGTCTTTCTGTTTGGGTTTCTAAGTAATTGTAGGTTCTTTAAACATAGCTGAGTTATTTATTTTGTTTGGAGAACTGTTAAACTGCCAGTTACTGGATATTTGTCTGCCTGCCCCTTTCTGGCTCTTGTGTTATTTGCTTAATGTATTTGTGTATTGTAGTTCTGGTTCAATGGAATTGCTGTAAAACCCCAATATGAGTATTATGTAGTAGCAAACCTTTTGCTTTAAAATATTTGCTCTTGAGATAAGAGATTAACACCAAACAGTGGCTTCTACTTGAACTGAAATGACCCTTGCGAATATCGTTTAGAAGGGAGGTTATAGTTGCACTAAACAACCGAACCATTTATTGGTTGTAACTTCAATCTCCATACAGGATAAGACTGTTGAGGAGCAACGCCAGGGATACAAAGCTTCCAAGACACTTTTTTCCACCAATGGAGGTTCAAATGTGGAGGGCTCTGCCTCAGAAGGCAGTTCAGATGGGAAAACAAACTCCATGGGTAGTGAAACTGAAGATGACAGGCTACAAGAAGCCGGTGATGATGGTAATGAGAAAGAAGAGGACGATGATTATAGCAACGGAACAGATTGTCGTAACCGGCTTTCGTCCGGACACGAATTTTTTTATTTGGCGGAAAAAGTGATATGAATAAATAAAATAATTTGGGAGGCCTTTTAGGTCAGGTAGATCAAATATCTAAAAATTATCTTTTAAAAGAGTTTTAAGAAAATATTAGTTAAAAGATGAACTGATCTGCGTTTATAACTAAAAATTTGTTCTTTTTTTAAAAACTTTTTTTTAAAAAAAAAGATTCGTGGTCGGTTACGTTTAGGGAATGATTAACACTCTTATAACGCCCAAAATTGGTACTTTATTAATTATAATTTGTCTATATTATTAGAAATTTAAGAATTCAAAGATATTTAATTTATAATCCTATTATGAAAAAATATTTATATACATTTATAAGTAAAATATTTATTTATTTAGAAATATCAGAAAAAGATTTCTAGGTGCCTTAAGACAGCTCTTTTCTTTGATATTAATAAATATTAACAATATAATAATTTAAATTATAATTTTTATAATATTTAATTTTAAAATACCATAATAGGATATCCAGTTGTATTAAGACTGTCCTTTTCTTCGATATTGAAAAATAAATAAATATTAAAATATGATAAAAATAATTTATATAAAATATAAATTATTATTTATTGTATATATATTTATATGACTAAAAAAAATAATATTTAAAAATGTAAACAGGTAAAATTAAAACATAAATAAAAATACAATTAGAACTATATATTTAAAAGCAAATAAACTTTATAATAAATGAAAATATTTAAAAATAGTGACTAAATTATAATTTAATGAAATTAAATACCTAATTCATAATTAATTATTTAAAATTATAGGGATTAAACATACCATTTTCCTTATTTATTAATTTGGTGACTAAAATAAAATTATATAAAATTCGAATATCAGATTAAAATAAATTAAAAATATATACTCAGGATTAAAATATTATTTATTAAAACTAAAGGACTAAATACGTATTTTATCTAAAATATTTATAATTACGGTTAAGGGCTAAAATATAAATAAATAAAATTTAGAGACCAAATTAAAAGGATTATAAATTTGATTTAGTGACTAAAATGTAAGAATTACAAGTTAAGGGACTGCAGACGGGATTTAACCCTTAGTTAATTACACAAATAGCCCTCCCCAAAACGACGTCGTTCGGGAAGGGCTATTTAAAGCCCGAAACCGGCTGGCTCGAAGAGCCAGCTCTCATTTCATTTCTTCCCTCTCTCTCTCTTCTCTGAGAGAATTCAAATTTCTCTCGCTTCTCTCTAAAACAGAGAGAAGCATACCGGCCGGCAACCGTTCGGCGGCGTTAATCCTGCCGCCAGCCACCGTCTTCGGTGGCCGAATTTTTTTTATATACTAAAACGTAGATCGAACCGTCCTAATGACGGTTCCGGTGTTCTTTTCTCTTAAATAGCTCCCTATCGGAGCAAATCTAAGAAAGTACCTTCGATTTTCGAAGGTTTTTGGTGACGTTTGGAGAGGTCCGGCGGTCGTGGCTTCCTCGGTAAGCTTCTCTCCTTTCTTTTCTTTTGTTTTTGGTTGCTGTGTTGTGGGTTTGCTCTGCTTTGGGTTTGTTGTTGGTTGCTCCTTCTCTGTTGGTTTTTTTTTTGTTCTCCGTTCTTCCTCTTCTCTTTTGTTGGCAGGGGGCTCGGTGGCTTCGGACTGGTCCAAAAGGGGTTCTTCGGTGAGTCACCAAACCATAGGTGGTGACTCAACGTAGCCCTCAACGTGGACGGTTCTCTTTAATTCTTCTGGAGGCTTCGTGGCAGCGGCTGAGCGGCGTTGAACGTGGCGGTGGAGACAACAAAAGCAGCGGCTGGGACGTGGCCCTAGGGTATCATACCCTAGGGTTTGCATCTGGAGGTCCTTGGACCGTTGGATCATGCCAGATCCAACGGTGGATGGCTGATTGCGGCTGGGGCTTAGATACAAACCCTAAACGGGTTTAGGGTTACACATTTGGGCCTTTAGGTCTGGGCCACTATATTTGGGTTACTGGGTTGGGCCGAACTTGGCCCGTTTATAATAATAATTTTAATAAAAATAAAATAATAATAAAATAAAAATAAAAATAAATAATAATAGAAAATGGAGAAAAAAATAGTATCTTCAGCTGCCCCTCTTTGCTCATTCTCGTGTTAACAAGAATAGAGCAAAGACGAAAAGATAATAATATTTTTTTATCCATTTGAATTCACTTGATTAATATGGAGATGTTGAATAAATTCTTCTCTTTCTTCAGATGAGTTCTTCTCATTATGAACTTTCCGCTGGGGAGGATGTTGACCTATTTCCTTCTGTGATAGAGTCCTTTAAAAGGTTGAATAAGCTCTTCTCATTATGAACTTCTTCTTTCTTCTTCAGATGAGTTCTTCTCATTATGAACTTTCTCTGGAAAGGTTGATGCTAATCTATCTCTTTCTGTGATAGAATTATGCAAAAGGTTGAACAAGCTCTTCTCATTGTGAACTTCTTCTTCTTCAGATGAGTTCTTCTCATTATGAACTTTCTCTGGAAAAGGTGATCCATCAAGTGATGGATTTGAGTAAAAGGTTGAACAAATTCTTCTCATTATGAATTTCTTATTCAGATGACGAGTTCTTCTCATTATGAACTCTACCTGGCAATGTTAATCCATCAAATGATGAATTTAAATAAAAGGTTGAACAAATTCTTCTCATTATGAACTTCTTCTTCCTTCTTCAGATGAGTTCTTCTTATTATGAACTCGAACTGGTAATGTTGATCCATTGAATGATGAATTCAAGCAAAAAGTTTGAACAAGTTCTTCTCATTGTGAAATTCTTCTTGAAAAGTTGATCCATCAAATGATGGATTTGAGCAAAAGGTTGAACAAATTCTTCTCATTATGAATTTCTTCTTCTTCAGATGACGAGTTCTTCTCATTATGAACTCTACCTGGCAATGTTAATCCATCAAATGATGAATTTAAACAAAATGTTGAGCAAATTCTTCTCATTATGAACTTCTTCTTCCTTCTTCAGATGAGTTCTTCTTATTATGAACTCGAACTGGCAATGCTGATCCATTGAATGATGAATTCAAGCAAAAAGTTGAACAAATTCTTCTCATTGTGAACTTCTTCTGGAAAAGCTGATCCATCAAATGATGGATTTGAATCTTTGCTAAAATATTTGAAATTCCTGTCAAAATTCAACATGGATGAGAATGAATGAAAATGCACCTATTTTTGCAAATGCCTAAATATGATGCATGAATGTTAAGTTATTTGATTTCAGATTGGTGAACTAAGTATTTCTTCAGTTGTAGAAACCCAATAAATCTTTCTTCTTCAAATCAGAGAATCTATCATCTTTGACAAATGTAGATGTAAATATAATGTCACAAAATCTCTTGAGAATAAAACTCAATAGTATAGGCTCTTGAAAAGCTTGCATTCATGCAACCTGTTGATTCTGATAACAACTCATCTGATTATGAAGTGATCTTTCAAGATGATTTCGCAGATATCGATAGTTCTTTTAATACCGAGAAAATCTTGAATTCTGATTCTGATGAGGAGAGTAAACTGTTATACTTGAAAAGAAATGGGATTCTCAGAGGCTGAGGCTTCAATAGCCATGAAGAGATGTGGTTCAGATTCATCAATTACAAAATTGACATATTTTATATGTGCTGCTCAAATGGCTAAGGCTGCTGATGCACTTCTTCCGGTAAAAGATAGGAAGTCATTATGCAATGATCCCAATTACAAGAAAAGGCAAAACTTGGGCTATGATTTTTGGAAAAGGAAGGAGCAGAAGAAACTTGAAAAGAAGCTTTTTAATGAAGACGATCATGCAGTTCATCTTTTAATTCCAATGATTGGTTCTGTGGTTTCTACCGAACCAGATCATATAACTCAAAGAACACTTCCAGAAGATGCTATTGGGTCTTCTTATTTCTACTATGAGCACATGGCACTTTCAAATCCAATGATTGGTTTTTGGGGTTCATACCAAACCAGATCAGATAACTCAAAGAACACTTCCAGAAGATGCTATTGGGTCTTCTTATTTCTACTATGAGCACATGGCACTTTCTTCAATTAATGTTTGGACTGGAATATCATAGTACTTTATTCGATGTAGAGCCAGAATTTGTAGATTCGAAGCATTTTCATGCTACTACACTGAAAAAGGCTATATTCATAATTCTGCCAATTGAGAACAGATTTTCTCTTATTCTGCTTCCTCCATGTGCTGATGTTTTTCCATTAACAAAGAAATGATGGCCTTCCTTCGAGTGTCCAAAAGTATGTTCTTGA